TTTCATTTGATGCTTTCCTGATATGTGTATGATTAGCACCCTGCAGTCGAAAGATTCTAAGTGATGGTTTAAATATTTGTTCTCTCAAGTTTGGTTTAATCACGGATTCGTGCACACGAACGAATGGGTTTCTATATATTTCTTGGTAGAATATGTATTTGTGAGTTGGATTGATTTTTATAGTGGGTTTTCACTGATTGTCTGGATCTTTGAATGTATGTGGGGATTGTATCTTTTTTTAGTGTTGTAATTTTTCGTATGGATCTTAGAGATCTCCTAACAAAGTTTTGATGGATTCGGTTCTTCTAATCAAAATCTTTTGTTGCTGATTTGGTGGTCGTTGTAATCAACGTAGATTTCAGCGAACTACAAGTCATGTTAGTTTTGGCATTAAAGGTTTCTTCTTTTTTGCCACGTTTAGCCGCGGTATAATAAATGGTGTTAAAATTAGCCGAAATTAATTGTTGGGGGAAACGGCACGCTTAAATGTTATTAGCAATTAGGCTACAAGTTACTAAAACATGTCCGTGCTTTTCGGGTGGGTATACATTCAAGCGAACCATGAAAAAAAACTAGGAGTGGACATATGAAGTGTTAGGATTGAGTTAAAGGTCAAAGTTGTGTGCTTCATTTCCTTCTCTTTTCATGTTCCTTTTACTTACCCCCATTTTCATGTTGTCTATTTATATATTTATGTGTGTGCATGTTGACCTACTGTCTATAGGGTTGAGAAATTGTACTAGAAATTATTATTTTTTATTTTTTATGTTTGGCTAAAATTTGTAGTGTTGCAGTCTTTTGCTGTTGTAATGGCATCAACAGCTGGAGCCACAGGATGGCTGAGGGGAATAGTGAAAGGTGTTCCATCTGGTGACAGCTTGGTGATAATGGGCAACTCCAAAGCCGAGATTCCTCCAGAGAAGACCATCACTTTATCATCCCTAATGGCTCCCAAGTTGGTAAGTTCAACTTGGAATGTTGTCTCACTTTTTGTTGAACTTAACCTGCATCCACGTTAAACAATTTATTTCTCTTCTCCTTGTTCAACAGGCTAATTCGCTTCTGAGATTAGTTGATTTAAGGGATTAGGGAATTGGATATTGAAAATCATATCAGTGTGAATTATCATGCCTTTCCTGATTGGTACCTTATTGTGTATGTTTTGACCCCTCCATGCGTGCGGTATTCAGTTGTTACATTTTTGTCAATGCAATTTACTTTTAGATTCAGATGTTCTGTTGGGATATTTTTGTTCAATTGTAACTTCGAGTAATGTTTGGGTGTTTTCTATTTTGCATTGTGTAGCTTGGGATAAATCTTCGAATGTGTCTTGTTTGGATTTGTGATGGCTCATTTGCATGATGAGTGTCACATAACTCACTATTCATTAATGAGCCTTTTCTTGTGTTGCTTTATGTTTTCCGACTATTCATTAATGAGCCTTTTCTTGTGTTGCTTTATGTTTTCCTTTTGAGTTGTAGGCTCCCCGTAGAGGTGGTCTGGATGAGCCGTTTGCGTGGGAGAGCAGAGAATTTTTAAGGAAACTTTGCATTGGGAAGGTGAGATTTACTTTGGATTTATTTTCCCCGAAGAGAATTTCTTAAATATTTTATGGATTGACCTCATCTTCTTAAAGCATACAGTCTAAAAACAGTACTGGCCTTTTGCATTTTAGGAGGTGACTTTCCGGGTGGATTACACTGTACCGTCCATCAATCGGGAATTTGGTTCTGTTTTCCTTGGAGATAAGAATGTGGCTTTGCTGGTGGTTGCTGCAGGCTGGGTAAAGGTATTGTATTTATTCATTCTGATTTTAAGGTTAGTGATTGTCTTTGGTCTATGCTTCGTATAACATATATATCAATTTGTATAATGAAGGTTAGAGAGCAAGGTCAGCAGAAAGGAGAAGCTAGTCCTTTCTTAACAGAGTTGTTACGACTTGAGGAACAGGCTAAGCAGCAAGGCCTAGGCCGCTGGAACAGGGTGTGTATGTTTTACATCTTGATATGATTTAATTCATCAACTTGACTTCTTGTGTTTCAGGAGTAATTTTAATGCATGAATTATATATGCATTTTTTTTTGAAAAAAAATGCGGTCCTTTTTGATTCACAAGATGGAAATAATATTCCTGAAGTTTTTGTAATTGTTCCTAATTCAGGTGCCTGGTGCTTCTGAAGCCGCCATTAGGGATCTGCCTCCTTCAGCCGTCAGTGATTCTAGTAATTTTGATGCTATGGCTTTATTGGCCGCTAAGAAAGGTAGCCCTTTGGAGGCTATTGTGGACCAAGTTCGCGATGGAAGCACAATTCGTGTTTATTTGCTGCCAGAATTTCAGCATGTTCAAGTGTTTGTTGCTGGTATCCAGGTTTGATTTCCCATATATATAAGTTTTACTGTGTTATCATAACCTTCGGCCACATCACCTGTAGTTTTAAACTTCTGATGCTATCTGTTCAAATTTTGTCTGCCAGTCTCCATCTGCGGGTAGAAGGGCTGCCTCAGATGCTGTTGTTGGTACAGTGGTAGCCTCTAATGAACAAAA